AAAGGTCAGCTCAAGAGTTGCCTTGTGCAGCCATCCCTTGCCGACTCTTCCCCGCAAGGGGAGAGGGACTGGGTTTGGGTCCCCCTGTGACTACTCATTTTATGAATCTAACCGGCCACTTTGGGGAGCTCACCAAAGATGCCACCTGTCAGTTCCCATCTCCCTCTGACCCCAGTGCTACTTCTTTTTTGGTTTATTTTTTTGGTGGCCATCAACACATGTCACTTTAACTTGCCCTTCCAACACCCACAGTCTGAGGCCTCTCTGAGCCTCCGTTACTTCATCTCTAAAATGGGGACATTAATGCTTGTCCTTCCTGCCTTAAAGCTGCTCTCCTCTAGGGTTGTCTTCTCCAGCAGCAGCTTCCTAAGCCTTCCCTTAGGAAGGGAAGCAGGCAGGCAGGGGGCCTTTGGCAGGGGACAGGTGAGCAAAAGTAAGGAGAACAGGCCAGAAATCTCTGGCCTCCCTGTAGGGCAGACGCAATCGACACCTGGACACTGCAGGAGAGGCAGAACTGTCAGCGTCCCCCTCACTGCAAAAGCTCTTGGGTTCGTGGCTTTCCTGCTTTTGGCATCTGAGAGCTGCTCCAAGCCTCCGGTGCCCAGGACGGCCCCTGTCATGTGACCTTGGTGTCACCTGTGTCACCTATGAGCAAGGGAGCAAGCCCAGGTGAGGAGCCCTAGAGAACAGTTGTCAGCAGATAAAAGCAAGTGTTGACCCTGTGGGGAGGTCAAGGGCAAGGGGCTGTGAGAAGCGAGAGGGGGAGGAAGCCGGGAGGGAGGGGGCCGCTCCCCAGCTGCGCATCGCCCCCCCCCCCCCCGCCCCCCACAGCTGTGCTGGAAAGAACCTGGGCCCTGAGGTCAGGGGTGGGACGGGAGGAAGAGCAGAGCGACAAGAAGGAAGCAGAAGCCTGCGCTCTGTCTACTTCTCACTCGCCGCTTTCCGGGCTGGTCTGTTATGTTTGTTCCAGGATGTGGCCCAGGGGGTTCATTTCCTCTCTTCCACCTTGTGATAACAATGGCCACTGTTTGTGTGCCCACAGTCGGCCAGCATCCTGGACACGTTCCCTCCATTGTGTCATTTCACCCTCACGCCCACCCTGGAAGGCTGGGAGGGAGCCAGGCCCGTACTTTCAGTGGCCAGGCTGCCATCCAGGTGTGGGAGGCAGCCCTCAACCGCCAGCCCCGGGGACCCTGAGGAAGGTGCCTCTCCCCTGGGGCAGGATGTCTTCCTTCCATCCAGCTGGATCCCCGTGATGATTCTCCCCTAAACCCCAAGTGGGCTCATGGGTGCTGGTGCTCCTGACTCCCCCCAGGAGGTGCCTGGGAGCCCCTCGCCTCTCCTGGTGCCTCCTGCCTGCTCTCTGGGAAGCCTCCGTGCTGCTATTCTAAGCTGGTCCTGATCCCCGGGCTTCTCCCCAGCCATGGGCCCCAGGGGCTCAGCCTACACTCTTACTTTCTTTAACAAATAGAATCATTTAAAAAAAGAAGAAGAAACATTTTCCATCCCATTTGATAAACAGGGAAAAGAAAAAAATGGCCCATAAACCCAATATCCTCATAGTATTTTGGTATTTTGGTATTTTTCTGTCACCCTTATTTTTTGCGACATAATTTTGACTCAGCTAAATTACGTTTTAACAGACTTTCTGGGGGCCAAGCCTGTGCGGGGGGTGAGTGTACAGAGGGGAAAAGACTGAATACCTGTCCTTAAAAAGCTCCGATGATCTAGAACCAGCTGTCTGGCCCTGATTCTTGCTCCTTCACCTACTAGCTGTGTGATGTAGGGCCCATTACTTTACCTCTCTGTTTCTTGATTTTCTCATTTGTAAAATCAGGATAATATGACAATTTCATAGGGTGGTGGTGCAGATTTTTTAAAATATTTTATTTGAGAGAGAGAGCATGCAAGCAGGGGGAGGGGCAGAGAGAGAGGGAGAGAGAATCTCAAGCAGACTCCGCACTGAGATCATGACCTGAGCCGAAATCAAGAGGCGGGCACCTAACCGACTGAGCCACCCAGGTGCCCCAGGGTGGTGGTCCGGATGAAAGATTAGTATATGTAAAGTTCTTGGACCAGGACCAGAGCACAGAGAGGCACGTGAGTGTTTGGTGTGATTAGTGTGATTAAGTGTAGGAGGACGGCAGGAGGATGGAGGAGGGGAAGGACGTATCAGACAAATCAACATGGAGAGGGAAGGAGGTGCGAGACAGCATTGCTTTCTGCAATCATGCATGACAGGGTGGGACCAAGGGGGAGAAGCTGCGTGGGGAGGCGGGGGCTTGCAGGCTGAGCTCGCAGCCCACAGCCAGCACAGGGAGCGCTGTGGACTTGATGCCCCAGAGTCTATAACACCACCATGTGCTTCCTGAGTTCCTCAATCACAGCTTTTTTTTTTTTTTTTTTTTTAAGATTTTACTTATTTGACAGAGACACAGCGAGAGAGGGAACACAAGCAGGGGGAGTGGGGGAGGGAGAAGCAGGCTTCCCGCGGAGCAGGGAGCCTGATGCGGGGCTCGATCCCAGGACCCTGGGATCATGACCTGAGCCGAAGGCAGACGCTTAACCGACTGAGCCACCCAGGTGCCCCCTCAATCACAGCTTTTAATGACCATGTGGTATCTCTGGAATGAACACATCACAATTTACAATTCCTATAACGTTGAGTGCAGAAGTTGTTAATTGTTAATAACAAAAAATTGTTATAGGCGCACTGATGTGCATGCCATGCCTTCCATCTTGGGGGTTTCTTTTCCAGGGACCGATTCCCATGCTTTCTCTTGGGGTCCCTCCCTTCTCCCCTGGCTCTGGGGAGGGGTGCAGGCACCCCAGCGCCTCTGTGCTCTCAGTTCCCAAGTGCAGAAGAAAGAAGGAACTTGACCCAGGTCTGAACTCTTTCTTTCTTTCTTTCTTTCTTTCTTTCTTTCTTTCTTTCTTTCTTTCTTTCTTTCTTTCTTTCTTTCTTTCTTTCTCTCTTTCTTTCCTTTCTTTCCTTTCTTTCCTTTCTTTCCTTTCTTTCCTTTCTTTTTCTTTCTTTCTCTCTCTCTTTCTTTTTCTTTCTTTCTTTCTTTCTTCTTTCTCCTTCCTTCCTTCCTTCCTTCCTTCCTTCTCTCTCTCTCTCTCTCTCTTTCTTTCTTTCTTAATTTTATTTATTTATTTGAGAGAGCATGAGCAGGGGGAGGAGCAGAAGCAGAGGAAGAAGCAGACTCCCCGCTGAGCAGGGAGCCCGATGTGGGGCTCAATCCCAGGACTCTGGGATCATGACCTGAGCCCAAGGCAGACACTTAACTGGCTGAGCCACCCAGGCACCCCCTGGTCTAAACATTCTTAAGAACATTCTCATTTAATCCTCACAGCACATAAAAGGGGACCTTGTCCTCATTTTTTATTTAAAATTTATTATAGAGAGAGCAAGAGAATGAGAGTGAGAGCGGGGAGAGGGGCGGAGGCAGAGAGAGAATCCCAAGCAGACACCGCACTGAGTGCGGAGCGTGACACAGGGCTCGATCTCACGACCCTGAGATCACGACCTGAGCCGAAATCAAGAGTCAGATGCTCAACCGACTGAGCCACTCAGGTGCCCCAAGCATTTCCTCATTTTAAAGGGGACACTGAGGCTCATAGTCTGCTCACGCCACATCTTACTAATGATCATAAGAGGAAGGACATTACAAAGCTTCAGGGCGCTTCCAAAGCTCTACAATCACGGTCTTTGTTTCCTTATGCGTCAAAGGGAGGGCAATGGAAGTGAAGAAGACTCATGCCTATTGACCATTTACTATCTGCCAGGTTCTGTTATTGGGCACTGTTGTGGTTCTCGTGTTTCAGATAAGGAAACAGACACAGAAGGGTTACGTGACTTGCCCAAGGACACACAGCTGGTGAGGATGGGAACACAGTTTTGCTCCAGCCCTCTTCCTTTACAGAGACTGAAAGGGGACAGTCACGTAAAGTGCTTAGCTCAGGGCCCGCTGCCTAGTAAGTGCTCAGTCTCCTGGTATAATTATCATTACTGGCCCTTCCTCTCTTTATCGGTGGTTCTTTGAGGCTTCTTGTTCTTCCTTTTATCCCTAAGCTCGATCCTCTCCTCAACAGCTGGGCCAGAGTGTGACCAGTGTCCACTGACATGTCCATTCTCCGGGGTACCCAAACTTCCACGCTCTGTCCTCAGTGTCTGAGCCTGCACTTTTGGTGGGTGACTTCCTGGCACAGAGCCAGAGGGCAGCCTCTAGCTAAATGTCACCCGGCTTTGGTGGCACTGCCTTAGGAATGCAGTACGCTTTCTGAGAACCTAGGAAAATATGCGACATCTAATTCTGTCATCCAAACTAGGGACAGTTTCCACAGCAGAAACTGGGACCCTTTGAGTCTGCAACATAACGTTTCCATCCACACACATGCTCACTGTTGCTGAGTCTTTACGTTCACGTTCATTTCCGAGGCACTTGGTTTCATGTTTTCTCAGAGCAGGCACCAACAATTGGGAGACCAATGCCCACGGTCCCCCTGCGCCTGATGGAGTGTGGGCCGATCCCAGTCCCCTGGCTGTATCTGGTCGAGACAGGACCCTGGTTTTATTCGTAGAATTGAAATGACTCACGCCAAGCTTTCTGAGCGCTGGACTTCACGTAGTGAGAACCCCTCCCTTTGGACGGGACAGGATCATCTGTGATGCGCGTTCCTGTCTGCCGTCTCCTTGAGCAATAGGTTCTATACTGCAGATGAGGAAGCTGAGGCTCTGGTGGGGAAACTGACCAGGAAGCAGGATGGTTCTGGTCCCCTGGGCATGGTGGCCGCTCTGTAACTTCCTCTCATGCCTTCTTACCCCTGACTCAGTGCCTCTCTCTTTCTCCCCCCCCTTTCCAGGTCCCTCCTGGCCCAGAATCAGAGGACCAGCACTGGTGGGGCCCCATCTGGGAGCCTGTGCAGGAAACTGCTGTACTGGTGAGGTGGGCATGGGAGACCGAGCCCAGCTGACCAGAGACCCCGTTTTCTTCCAGACTGAGGGGGCAGGCGGCGGGGCCTCTCCACCTGCCCCGCAGAAGATGCAGTTCTTCGGCCGCCTGGTCAATACCCTCAGTAGCGTCACCAACTTGTTCACAAACCCGTTCCGGGTGAAGGAGGTGGCTGTGGCAGACTACACCTCGAATGGCCGAGTTCGGGAGGAAGGGCAGCTGATTCTGTTCCAGAACATTCCCAGTCGCACCTGGGACTGCATCCTGGTCAACCCCAGGAACTCACAGAGTGGATTCCGGTGGGTGATGGTCAACTGCCACACATACTTCTTTCCTTTGACTCCTCAGACTGGTCGTCCCTTGGCCAAAAAGCAGCTTCTTTGGGCCTAACATTTGAGGGCTCTGGAGAAGGGTGGGAGAGGGTGGGGAGAGGGATCTCCTAGGGCCCTCCTACACCTTCTGGCCCATCAGGGTCCCCACAGCAGGGGTGTGAGGATAGAAGGCGGGGCTTTTCCCTGCCTCCAGGCTGGGAGCCATGCAGTTGGAGGGAAGGAGGAAGGACAGGAAAGCTGAGAAGGGTCAAATCAGGTAAAGTCCAGGGTTCACCTGTAACCCTGGGTCTTTAAAGGCATGACTGACTGCCTTATAGGGGCCGATCAAGGTTTGTTCAGGAGAGTATAAGGGGTGGACAGCAGTCACTTTTCAGGGCATGCGGGGTCTCCCATGGGAACTAGAAGGAAAGGGTAGGAAGCCAGGAGAGGGCTGAGGGAGCTGAGCCAGCTGCAGGGCTGGTTGGCCTAAGGGGAAAGGAGTGGCCAGGCACCCAAAATGCAGGGTCCAGAGGAGCTTGGCAGACTGGCCCTGAGTTGGGCTAGTGCTGATGGGCCTTTTTCCCTTCGTTCATCCATCTGCCCATCCCGCCATCCTTCCCTTCACTGGGCACTGGGCATCTGCAGTGGCTCGGGAGTCCCAGGCCCTGGGCCAGGCCCAGCTGGTACTGTGAAATGACAAGACATGCTCCGCGCCCTTATGTGCAGTCTTGGGTGGAGGCCACATGCCCGGCAGCCGTGTGGGGAGAGCTGCGGGTAGAAGTGGGCAGTGGGGACGCAGGGAGGTGACCCCTTCCTGGTGAGCTCCTCTGAGCCTAGAACGAGTAGGAATGTGTCTGGCAGAGGAGAGTGGATAAGGTCGTTCTAGACATGCGGAGGCATGGGTGGGGGGTGAGGGGGCGCCCACAGGCGAATGGCCCTGGGCCGGATCCCTGGTATGCGCAGAGCTTTGGCAAGCATTGAAGCTGGAGGGAACCTCTGGACTCATTCTGATTGAGGAGGCATGGCAACAGGAGTCTCAGAAAGTGGCAAGCTGGGAGTCAGGGTCCAGCCAACAGGAGGAGAGCAGAGGAGGCCGGCCAATCGGGAGAATTCAGGTCTGGTTCCACAGGGAAACTGAGGCAGAGGCCCCCACAGTGGGCAGTTGGGCAAAGAACACAGCTCAGCAGCCAGTCTGGACGCCAGTTTTAACGTGGCAGAGCTAGTCCACACTCTGGGCACAGATGCCTGAGCTGATGGCCATCCTGCTGGTCTGGATCAGGACAGGGCAGGCTTCCACCTGCGGCTCCAGAACCCCTCCACAGGCCCGCAGCCGAGGGCCGCTGATGGGAATGCACAGCCGAGCAGGGTGGTACGGTGGGTCCACTCTTCGGAGGGCCACTCAGCCTTACTTTTCAGGTGCTGCCCTGGGGGCTCCACCACCTTCCACCATCACCAAGTCCTGTCAGCTGTAAATGTCCCTTGACAGGACTCCAGATCTGTCCCAGAAAGCTCAAACCCCACTGTGGGCAGACTTCCATCCCAGGGGATTAAACTCTTTGCCAACAGTTTATTAACTACATGTTTATTTATTACCCTTAATTGGGGGGCACTTTATAGTACTTTCACATATGGTATATTAGCACATCCTCCCATGACCCATTGAGGTAAACAAGGAAGGCAGTATCCCATTTTACAGATAAGAAAACTGAGGCTCAGGAAGATAAGTGAGTCATTAAAGGTTGCACGGGAACCAGTGAAGAAACAGAATCTGTGTCTTCTGGCTCCTAAGCCATTTCTCTTTTCTGTGCCCCTGCATGTTTCCAGTGTTTGGACAGAATAGGGAGCATTGGGTGGGGTTTCAAGCCAAGCACATATCTCCTCTCGGAATTCCTGACATCCCTCACTTGGCTCTGGACTCTTGTCTCTTCTTCTAACCTGCTCTTGCCCAAGCATTTCCATTTCAGTAGATGGCATCACCATCCCTGTATGCGGTTGTGCAGCCCAGATGCCTAGGAACGATCCTTGATCCCCTGGGCTCTCCCCCCACAACCCCAGATCTGGGTCATTACTGAGTTCTGTCACGCTCCCCTGCCAAGCATATCTTGAGTCTGCTGCTACTTCTCCATCAATTATGCTTAACTTTGGCTTGAATGACAACCACAGCGGATAGTGGTCCTCAGGGGCCCCCAGTCCCCAGGGGTCCAGGCTCTTGCTGTCTTGTTGCTCCACCAAGTGTGGCCTTCATTCTCTAGGCTACCACATGGTCCCAGATGGCCATGCCAGATCCAGCCATCACAGCCACCTTTCCAGTCAGCAGAAAGTTAGAAGGGCAGGGTGAACAAGGGCACTGTCCTCCTTTTCAGGGGCTTCTCAGAAGTGGCACACATGCCTTCCCCCTGAATCCCATCGGCTGGGACTTAGTCACATGGCCACAACTAGTTGCAAGGGGGGCTGGGAAGTGTAGCCTGCATTGCGGCCACGTGCCAGTCCCGAATCCGGGCTTCTGTTATTCTCAGTTTTGCTGCTGGCTCTTTTTCCAGGCTATGGTCGTTGTACACACAGACTCCAGCTTCACTCTGCCTCCCCGCCTGTTGCTCTGCCTGTGGTCTGGTTGCTCTCCTCCCATCCTCTTCCAAGCTGCTGTCAGAGTGATCTTTCCAGAAGACAAATCTGACCACTCACTCCCCTGCTTCACTCTTCAAGAAGTCCCTTTTTCCTTAACATATCAGCTGCTTAGCTTGGCTTGAAAGGGCCAGTGTGATCAGGCCTTGCTTCTCCCTCTGGTCTCAGTTGTTGCCCCTTGTGCTCCTGGCCTTCGCCTAGACTCTTACGTCATCAGCCTAGAACATTCTCCCCTTCTTTGCCTGCCTCACTTCTGCTCGCCCTTCTGGCTAGAGTAGGTGTTGATGCTGTGTGTCCGGTAGCACTCCATCCCCACGCTTGGTAGACCGTCTTCCTGGTAGACCACAAACCCCATGAGGGTAGTGGCTATGTCTGTCTTGTTCGCCCCAGTACAACCCCCAGCACCCAGCAAGGAGCCTGGCACACGTAGGTTTGTGCAATGCATGTGATGTATTCTCGAAGCTTCACCAGTATTTGCAGAGGGCCACTGTGCGCCGTGTCCTCTGTTGGGACTGGGGACTGTTGGATTCAGGGCAGTCGAGGGGGTGAGCTGGGAAGCAGGAGGGGAGGTTATGAAGAGTTGCAGAAATGACAATGCCAAGGACTGGGGTGTGACCTCGGAGTGAGGGCCAGGGCCCTGGGCTTCTCCTAGGGGCAGCCATCCTGGGGTCTCCCCACTGCTCCCAGCCCTTTGCAGTTTCTAGAAGGAAGGTATGGTTTACTAGACTTCCTCTTCAGGCTGCTGCAATTCTGTCTTTTTTTTTTTTTTAATATTTTATTTACTTATTTGATAGAGAAAGCACAAGCAGGGGAAGTGGCGGGCAGAGGGAGAGGGAGAAGCGGGCTCCCCGCTAAGCAGGGAGCCCGATGTGGGGCTCAATCCCAGGACCCCGAGATCATGACCCGAGCCAAAGGCAGACGCTTCACTGACTGAGCCACCCAGGTGTACCCCCCCTTTTCTTAAAGATTTTATTTATTAGAGTGAGAGAGAGTGAGCGAGTGAGTGAGCGAGCACGAGCTGGGAGAGAGGGAGAAGGAGAAGCAGACACCCCACTGAGCAGGGAGCTGATGTGGGACTCGATCCCAGGACCCCAGGATCATGACCTGAGCCCAAGGCAGACACTTAACTGACTGAGCCATCCAGGTGCCCCCCCCTTTTTTAAAGATTTATTTATTTATTAGAGAGAGAAATAGCGTGTGGGGTGAGAGGCAGAGGGAGAATCCTTGAGCAGACTCCCTGCTGAGCGGGGAGCCCGATGCCACAGGGGGCTCGATCCCAGGACCCTGAGATCATGACCTGAGCTGAATCAGCCGCCCAACCGACTGAGCCACCCAGGCACCCCTGAGGTTCTGTCTTTTAAAGGTCTCCTCCTGCTTTACTTGCCTGGAGGCCTCTGAACTGCCCCAGGGTCCAGAACTGTGGTTCAAGGGAAGTATTGCTTCCAGCCTCAGGCCCCAGGTAGACATGTCCCTGGGCTGCATGCAGCTGCGTCGCTTCAGGTTGGGGGAAGGAGTCAGGATCTTCTGAATCCTCAGGTTTTATTACCTAAGGGCCTGTGACCCCTTACCTCCAGTATCCGTACTAGGTGGAGAGATCCGACCCTGGCGGTACAAAAGGCGACATCAACAATAGCATCTTACTGCGTGTGAGGCTCATAAACAGCCCCTGGAAGTGGGGGTATTACTGACCCCATCCTACAAAGGAGGAGACACCCCTCAAAGAATTTCAGTAACTTGCCCACCTCACCTCACTGGTCAGCCGTGGAGCTGAGGCTCAGGCCCAGCATTCTGGCTCTAGAACCCACCTCTTCCTTCTCTTCCACTGGGGCCACTTAGCAGTGTGGCGCTGGGCAGGACTCAGCTCGCCTGGGCTCAACCCCAGGGCCCCACTGGCCTGACATACGGTCCAGAGCCCCTGGCTCCTCTGTGTGAGCCTCAGGGTGGTCACTGGTGGCGTCGTGTGGACATTATGATAACACCTGTATTTATGTTCCTGCTACGAATTAATCATTTACTACTGACATTTGCTGGTGACATGTGATATTTGATGAAACCTGCCAGCTCTTCACTGGTATCTCAGCAGAAACAGGGCTGCACTTTCCAGGAACCCTAGAAAGAATGATCAGAGCAGGGACGCCTGGGTGGCTCAGTCTGTTCAGCGTCTGCCTTCAGCTCAGGTCATGATCCCCGGGTCCTGGGATCAAGTCCCAGCTCAGCGGGGAGCCTGCTTCTTCCTTTCCCTCTGCCCCTCCCCTCCACTCAAGTTCCCCCCTCTCTCTCAAATAAAATCTTAAAAAAAAAAAAAGAATGATCAAAGCATGTGCGACCTGTGATCTTTGCTTCTTGAAAGGGGACTGATATTTGAG